TAGCATTTGTAGTTAATGAGTTATAAGCTTTTAAAGTTAAATAATTAGGACTTGCGTTTCTTTTGTGGGCCACTGTAAATTAATTATAAATTTAAATTAATTATATATAATATTAAATTTATTTTAATATTTTAAGCAGAAAAAGTATTAAGTTTAGCACAGATTTGTGCAAGTATGCAATGACAATAACAGCTTCGTGAATTGGATTTTTATGCACAACGATATCAAAAAAAATATAGCAAATCTTGCTATTTCTGAATCAGATAATACAGAAAATATAGATCATGAAAATTTTTTCTTTCTGATAATGAAGATACTGATATTAATAATGAGATAAATGAGAAAAATAATGAAGATACAAATTTTATTAATAATACACATATACAATCAATAACTTCTATTAATGAGTGGAAAAATATGATAGCAAATTAGGCAGAAATGATTGAAAGTGAATTGCAAGATCAAGATATTGAAATAACAGATTTAATTGATACTTATGATATTTCAGTTGATAATATTGAACAATTGCAACATCCTGCAATTGATTTACAAGCAAAATGGCAATTAAAAGATATTTTTGTAGAAAGTTTAGAATTACCAAATTATTTAGAAGATTTTATTATAGGTAAAAATTAATAGCAATTTTTTAGCTGTATTGGAATTTTTTAAATAAAAAATAATTTTAAACAATAAAAATTTATAAATTATCACTTAAATAATAACATGAGTAAAATTTATTATAATGCAATTAATTATAATTAATTAAAATTTATTTTTAATTGGTTAATAATAACAGTTAGAATTGGATCAAGTCCAATCGTCCAATTGTTTAAATGGACTTATTGGTATTAGTACAATAAATCCAATATCTAATTGGTCCAATTGTCCAATTATCCAATTGCTAACACTGTGCAAAAAGACTGTCATTGTGGATGCTTAGCCAAACTTCCAAAGGAAAGCTTTGCTGAACTGAGAAAATCCTTTCAAGCTCTCTCTAAACCAGAATAAGATGCATTTCTTATGGCATAAATTAAAGCAATGAATGGTGGAAAAATAACTGCCAGCTGACGTCTTAAAAAAAACGTGTACTAATAAGTGAACTTTTTATTATTGAGATCGCAATATACCGCTTTATCAGAAAAGTATCTCAATATATTAGGAATTGATCGCACACACTTCGAAAACGTCAGAAATTACCTAGCGATGAATGGTATAATATTGCGCGTTCATGGCAATGTAAAAAAGGTACCGCGATGGAAAACCAAAATAACCATTGATATAACCATTGCTACCGCTGTGAAGAATTTTCTTGAAAATTATGCTGAAATCTATAGACTACCAAGTCCTGGTAAAAATGTCAATCGCATTACACAATCACTTACACTCTAAATCGGTCTAACGTAATTTTATTGCAGGTGTTGAAAATGATAACACATTGAAATTGTTAAAATATGATGCGTTTTGCAAGTTATGCCACTAATTAACACCTTATATTCAAATTATAAGTCTAAGAACAGATTTATGTGACACGTGCTAACATTTTTGGAATGGCTTACAATACAATGCTCGCAAGGAGGAAGAAGCAAGAGACTTATTAAAAAGGTACAAAGAATACCTAGTTAAAGCTAAATTAGAGAGAAACTATTACAATAAAAATATGAAATTAGCAGAAAAACATATAAAAATTAGTAAATAAGCATTTTACAACAAGAGGCAAAGCTGATTATTATAGCGTTAATACGACGGCTCATTACAGTTACGATTAAGCGCAAAATGTTCACGTATCCCATTCTGATCAACAAGTAAGTAAGACTTATTATCTCAGTCTGCGTAAAGTACATTTATTTGGTATTCAAGATGAAGCAGTATGCGAACAAATTAATTACGTTCTTAATGAAAATGAAATTATCAGTAAAGACCCTAATGGCACACTGAGCCTGGTATTTAATAGAATTAAGAAATTGAACAAAGGTGAAAAATATTTAAAGATTACTTGTGACAATACGGGAGGACAGAATAAAAATAATACCACTATTTAATTTTACTTATATTTAGTAATTTGTGGTTATTATGAAAGTATTGAATTAAATTTCATGGTACCTGGGCATACTAAATTTAAGTGTGATGGTAGTTTGGATTGATTAAGAAACTCTATAAAAAAATGATCGTAAATTGTGTGAATTATATTGTTGAGGTTGTGAAAAAATCGAGTATAGCGGGTTTAAATAAAGCTCAATGCTATGAAAACGGCAAAGGCTTTCAATATTTAGATCTTAATTCTGTGTTAGGAATTTTCTTTAAAAAATTGAGTGGTTTACAAAAATATCAACATTTTGTATTCGAAGCAGCGCGGCCTGGTATTGTCAAAGCTCAGCTGGTTATTCATGGTTCATATACTGAATTTAATTTGTTAAAAACCAGAAAAGAAAGTGTTACAGAAATTATCAAAGAAATTAAATCTTTTTCTATTTTAGCTCTAACTTCATTTCCTTTGGATTACAAAAGACAAGAATATCTTTATCATAATATTCGCCCATTTATTAGAGATGAATTCAAGAATATTACTTGTTTCAAACCAATCTATATAGATAATGAATAAAAATATTTCAGTCAACCGCAATTTTATTAATTTTATTACTTTATTAGTTTTTGTTTGTTTCTGTTAAATTTTTTATATTTAATTGATATTAATATTAAAATATAATATATTACATGATAAAAAAAAAGGAATTAAAATCATGACATTTAATAAAAATGATATAAATATAACAGACAAAGCAAAAGAATACTCCAATTATTATGAAGAAGTCCTTAAACCTGAAGAAAAGGCTATCTTTGATAGTAATCTTTTAAAACTAAATGGCATTTTGGATAAAACACTCCTTCAAGATACTGCTCAGTTATTAAACAATTGAAGAGAAGGTAAAGAAAAAGTAAAAGTTGAAAAGATGGGTTTAAGTTCAGCAAGACATACTTTATTAGTTGCAATTATAAAAGAGCAAAAAAGCAATTCTATTCCTTATCAAGTTGTTAATAATCTAAATGACAATAAACCTATTGACAAGGTTATCACTCAATTTGAAAATATTTTATTTAGTGAATCTGATCTTGAATTTGAAGCTGAAATTAAAGCTAAGCAAGATAAATTAGATGCAATTTTAGTTAATAAAGAAAAAAAAGATAAAGAAATTTCTGAATTTGAAATTAAAAACAATAAAATTCTTAACTCTGAATTTGAATTAAAAGCAGAGAATTATAAAAATGAAGTGCAACTTGCAATTGATAAACTTAAAAGAGATCTTAATTATGGAAACACAGCTGTAGTAGTGCCAACAGGTCAAAAAATTTAGATGAAATAATTGCTTTGACAAAGGTGACTGCTGACACTATCTTTAGATCAGATCATCCTAATTATATAATAGAAACTGGTTATAATAGTAATGGTAAACCTTTTACTCATCCATTAAATTTGGGTCATGATTTACCTCAACAATTTATCAAAATTTTCAAAGATTTTGATAAAGAAAAACTTTTTAAGATTATTAAAAGAAATTTTTCTTCCATTGGTGAAGCAGAAAGACTTAAAAGAATCTTTGAAAGGATGTTGAGTTGAACTTTTAGAAGGAGTTGAAGTTTTCCAATAGTAAATCCAAAAAAAGGAAGAGCAGTAAGAAATAGATTTGAAAAAAAACAACTGACTTTTAATGAGGCTGATTTTAGAAAAAAAACAGATGATTATGTGTTTGTTAGTGATATTTTTTATTTTATAAATTCTTTTTTTTCTCAAGAAACTGATTTTTCTACTAGCAAGTACCTTCAAGTTGGTGGCACTGATTGTTTACCTTTTAAAAGTAATAAAAGTTTAGACCAAAGTTATAACGTCCTTTGGATGGATGCAGATTCTAGTATTAAAAATAGTAGTTATCTTATTGTTAGTATATTTGAAATTCCTCTTCATTCTGAAAAAATCAGTTTGAGTTGAGAAAAAGGAGGACTACCAAAGTTTTTTTGGCAGGTCTATAACGACTCAGATTGAGTTCGATTTACGACACGTGATGAAGCTTTAGATAAAAATGGAAACCTTGTACCAACTGAATTCTGGAAAGATAGTATTTCTGTTTTTGAAAGAGATAAGTTGATTTATTATCAGAAATGCCATTGTACAGTTGACATAATGGCAAAGCACTATTTAGAACATGCTATTGAATTAATTCAAAATGATATTAGTGATTTTGAAGAATATAGGTTTGAATGAGAACCAGTTATTTTGAGTATAGCACAAGCAGCGATAAAAACCTGATTTCCTTTAATTGAAGCAGCAAAAGGAACAAATTATGATACATTGTTGGCTGAGAACAAGAGCAAGGAAGGTCAGTGATTAGTGCTAGCGAGCCTTATTAAATATTCAGAAGTTTCTATTACTAACGATATAATAAAGGATTATGATAAACTTAAAGTTAATGCTCAAGCAAGAATAGATAATATTGCTTCTGTGCAGGCTGGATTAGGCAAATTGTTAACAGAGCGTTCTTCAATTAGTTCCTAAGAGTTAAAAACTAGTCAGGAATTAGAAGCAGCAAAAAATCAAAAGAAGATGCTAAAAAAAACTGCGTGAATGGTTTAATAACTCAGTTTAATTTTCTTCATGCTAAAACTAACCAGATTTATAAAGAAAATTTATTTTTACGTAGCATTTTGGGTTTAATTGAAAAATGAAAAGATTTATTAGATCCTGCTACTGTTTTTGATATTACTAATTATCGTCAAGAATTACAGGATTTTGATAACAAAATCCAAGGCGAACTAGGTGGTTATAATAAATGAATGAGTTTAGGTAGTGATTTTATTAACCGGTTAGATAATTGAAAAAATAGTGATGGCAAATATCACAATGAAATAGCCACCAAAGACTATCTAAGACCATTGTCGATGCTTTAGAATCAGTGCAATCTAAACGAGTACTTGATCTCGTTGAAGACAATAAATTAAGAGAAATTAAAAAATATTTAAGTGAAGAGCAAAAGCAACCTAAAATATTACTTACTTGCAGTGGACTTAAAGGAGTCTTAGGAGTAAAAACTAACATTTTTAGGGACTTAGTCAATAAATGAGAAGATTATCCTATTGCTGATGAATTTAAAGAGAGTTCTAGCAAGTTTGAAGCCAAGATTAAAGCAATCACTGACAGAGTTAATGCTCCAAGTAGTAAGATTAATAAAGCTGGATTGGTTAAATACTGTAAAGAAACACTTGCTAAAAAACCTGATATTACAGATGTTCCTAATGACGATGATGTTCAGCAAACTTGATTAGATTTATTCCTTACTTAGGATCCGGAAGTAGTAGTGGAAACTACTGCTTTACACGAAATAAAAGTGGATAGTAATCTTAAAGCTGGAATCCTGCAAAAGATGAAAGATTATAAAGATGGCAAAGATAATTTAATCTTATTAGATCGAACTGTTTATGGAGATAGTCAAGAGTTTAGTGAAGAAGGAATAGTTAAGTTCTATACAGAAGAGTTAGGAGGTCAAGATCATGCTACTAAGAAATATCAACAGCCTTTCAAAGATAATATCCATGAACCACCTTTCTGAAGATGGAATAATCCAGGAGCAATCTTTACTGTTTTAGGAATAGCCTTATTAATCAGAGGTATTACTTGATTAGTTATTCGTTGAAAATAAGTAATTGCTTGATGAAACAAACCAGCTGACCTGGAAGAAGATGAATTTGATAGGGACGAAGATGAATGATAGATAAAGTTGCTGGAAACACAAAAAAAGTGTTCTAATAATGATTTAATTGTTTATTCTGCCAGTCTTCTTTTCTTTCTTGATTCATTATGTGTTGGCGTTAACATTCGTTTATTAGTTATTATTTTTCATTCTTCTTGATAAATTTCATAAGTGATTTTTTCTTGATCTAGATATTGCTGGAGAGTTTGGGTATCATTGATTTTAAAAATGTATGGAGCAATTTTTTCTCCTTGCTTTTTTTTTAAAATGCTTCAAATAGTGCTGTAATTCTTGGGTTCCATGGTGGATTTAATGTAAATTAGTTTCATATATTTTATTTTTATATAGGGGTAGACCTATATTACTCACATTATGGTTTATATTCATCACATTTCAGTATGATAAAGTGAACATTAAAATTAATAAGTCCATAACTAATGAATGAGCACCAAATTACTTTCAAAACGTCATCAGTCAAATTAGTTAACTTTCAGCTACACCAGCCTCTTATTTAAGAATGTTCACTTTGTCTGGTTTTGTTGTAGTCTGCCCCATATTATATAAAATAATAAAAATTCACTCTGAATATTTTAACCATTTCACATTAGAATTTATTTCAATGATAAATAAAGTTAATGCAATAATTGTTCTTTTAATTAATATATCAAAAAACAAATTTCTTTATTATATATATAGTCTTTTTAATAATCCACCACATCAAATAGACATCTAAAAAAAAAAAAAAAAAAAAATAACGTAAAAAGTAAGGATTTGCCTACCGATTCAATTTCCATCTTTGGTAAAATAATCAGCGTTACGGATGAAATGAATTTCACTTGATTCGCAATCTTTTGTTCTTTCACAATGTCTGACCCAACTTGGCGAAATGCAATAAACAACAACCCGATACAACAAAGTATTCGTCAATTTCTTAACAAATTTCCATTGAAAACGTACCGAACTCTACATAGACCACGAGAACTTGATTGCTCAAAGTTATATATATGGGGATCAACGAAAACTTCTTTAGACCAGGAATGTGTAAAGTGGCAGGTAAACATTGAACATATTACTGTCTCTGAAAATATTTATTTTGATTGAGTAATTCCGTTTGATTAGAACTAATTTTATTATTATTTTAGGTTTATTTGAAATTTAGTAAATATGATTTCGAAAACGAGACTTCTAATGAACCGTTAATGTCTCCCTCGGGTATTTTTAATTCTTTAATTCTTATAATTAGCTTTTAATTTATTTATTACTTACTCTAATTACATATAATTGCATAAAATGTATAGGAAAACTTCCATTCTTAGTATTAACCACTGGTGAGAATCTTGTGAATGATGCCATAGAGAGATATATCTCTGATAGGGTTAGTAATTAATATCAATGTATTGATGATTGATTTGATAATTATTTGTATTGAAATTTATTTCAAGTATAGTATTCTGCAAATTTTGGAAGTTTAAGTAATGAACAACAAGCAGATTCACAAGCGTATATTGCATTGGCAGATACAAAGTTACGAAATGCCTTGGTAAATAGTTTTTTAATATAAATAATAATAATAATAATAATGGCAATTATGAAATATTTGTTCTCATCTCGACCTTATAAATTTCGAGGTCTAAATATTAAGGTTAATGATCATACTTTTAATAGCTTGCGCGTCCCTAATTAAGTTGATTTAATGCTCGACTGGTTACAATTCTGAGAACAAGTTTTTATATTTGCTACGTTTTTTTTTGCATTATATTTAATTTAATTTGTTAATTTTATTTCTTTTATTTAGCTTTATAACCTTTGGTGTGAACCCGCAAATAATTTTATAGCACATAAAATTTATGTTAGTCATTATTCGAATCCATTAGATAAGATACTGTTTCATCAGAATAAAAATCTAGCAATCAAGGAATTATTAACAAGAAAGCCAGTGTTAAATGGTGAAGAAGTCAGTAATCGTATTTCTTTAACTAAAATCTTTCCCTTGGAGAATATGCTAATAGTTTCATTATCTATTTTAATAGATATATCAAGAAGCAGCTGAAGCATTACAATCAATTTCAGTTGCTTTGGGAGATAAAGATTTCTTTTTTGGAAGGTATTTAAAAAGGAATGAGTTAAAATGTTTTAAATAAATCCTTAGGTTTTAATCATTGTTTTATTTTGCTTTTAGTTTGCCTACCTTTATTGATGCAATTATTTTTTCATATACTCATGTAATGTTGGCTATCAAAACTAAAGAACTTACAGAGTTGGTGCAAAAACATTCGAATCTTATCAAATTTTATAAAAGAATAAATAATGATTATTTTTCATTAGAATTTTAATTATTATATTATAGTTATATATTTTACAAATAAAGCTATATTATATTCGGATAAATTTCAATTAACTAAATTAACTTATTATATGGGGCAGACTGCAACAAAACCAGACAAAGTGAACATTTGACTATGTGACATAAATGAGAGGCTGATTGTGACATGGCTGTAAAATTGACCAGTGACTGATGATGTTTGGAAAAGTAATAATGGTGCTCATTCATAACTTATAGACTTGTTAATTTTAACGTTCCTTTTATCATACCAGAATGTGATGAATATAGACCATAACAGGATTAATATAGGATTATCTCTATATAAAAAATATTAATATGAAACTAATTTACATTAAATCCACGATGGAACCCAAGAATTACAGCACCATTAGAAGCATTCTAAAAAAATCTCAAGGAGAAAAAATTGCTCCTCATGTTTTTAAAATCAATGATACCCAAACTCTCCAGCAATATCTAGATCAAGAAAAAATTACTTATGAAATTTACCAAGAAGAACGAAAATCATAACTACTAAACGAGCATTAACACCGAGACCAACACATGATGAACCAAAAAAGAAGCGAAAACTTGAAGAAACGTAAGGAAAATAAATTTAACGTAAAAGCTTCTCGCCAATGCCTCCACTGATTGAACGACTTGTCAACGGCAGTTTGTTCCTTATTGATAAAGACTGCTCGAGCGCATTCGTTGAGCGTTGATCATATTTTGTCAATTGCAATCAAAAAAGTCAAACATGTAAAAATAATTCAATTTTTGTAAGCGACTAGTGCTGATAATAAATCGATTATTCATGATATTTAAATAGACGAAAAGCGTGTTTCTGCGCATCAATTATCTGCATACAATGGACAATCGCAGCAATTGTACGTAATACTTACGTCATTGATTAAGCCCTGATCAGCGTTAGTATATTACGGTATTAGATCAATCGCGCGCAACACATCTCTCTCTAACTAAACGAAAAAAAGAAATGGCAAGTATTGAAGAAATCAGACAAGAGTTGGCGAAGGCTGAGAAGCAGCAGCAGAAGGTGAAGAAAGCGGTGAAGGAGTTTAAGGAAGACGAGAACGAAGGGAAGTGGTTGACAGAGTTAAAGGGGAAGCTGCAGAGAAAAGAAGGACTTGACGAGGTGGAGAAGCGGGCATGGGAGGATCTTATAGAGAAGGAGAAGCATCTGGAGATAGAGGTTAGCAATTGTAGGCGGCAGGTGGAGTTGTTGCAGGATAGGTTTACTGCACATACCCAGCCAGGTAATGACTTTGTGACTCGGGCATTGGGGACATAGAGTGTGTACGCAGGATAGAGGAAGGAAAGTCAATTTGAAATTTGTCACGCTGCTTATGTTGAATCACATAACCTAATTTATTGTCCCTTTCGTATTTCAAGTTTCTCATTTTAAGGACTCTCACCCTCGCGTTCAGCTTCTGTGATGGGTTCTACCATCAAGAAACATCCAAACTATCTAACTCTCGAAAATTGTGAGTTTTTGGATGAGCTCACATCTGAAGAAATACGCATCATTAAAAAAAAATATGCCCATATTAATAAGAATTCACCAAACCGTAATAACGATTGGAAAAGGGAAACCCAAGATGTGCACCCTTGGGTTCAGGAGGTTTACAAATCTTTGGCGGAAATATGGTAGCATCTATGCAGATTATTACCTCACATACCCGTTGTATAAGGATTTATACACTAAAACAGAAATCGATTGGATAAGATGCTACGCATTTGAAGACAAATTGAGATTGTCAGAGTCCGCCCTAAATGAAGCAATGGTTCAATGTCACAGATACTCCAAGTATTTCTTCAGAGCGGGAGAGAATAGTACACATACAGTGGCAATCATAAATAATGTAACAAAAAAATAAAATCCTTTAAATTTAAATATTTCTTTCAATTCTAGAGATATCCCACCCTCTTTAATAAAATTTT